CTGCCATGCTTAAAAGGCTATAGAAATAAGTTTATCCGTCAGGTTTGCCATTAAATATCCTTCACTAAGACAGTGAGACACCAAACAGCTACTGATGTAGAATCTAACTGGAATTTATTGTAGTGTGAAACATATTAGTGTATTCTGAATTGTTATCAGATTTTGCCAGTGCACAGAAAGTAAAATACAGGCAATGAAATCAGTAACATTTAGGAACTAATTTTATGAGTTTCACACTTTCTCACTGGTTTCCATGGATATTTATTTGTAGGCTGGTTTACATTAATATGGGGCAGCTGAATATTTAAGGAAGAAAAAAAAATATTCTGCACAGATTTTAATAGAAAATGAAGCAAACTGCATGCTTAGTAATCTTATTGAAGTTGTCAAATTACATGATCACCCAATTAATTTCATTAACACAGGATGTTACAAGGCAGTGTTTTTTTCCACAGACATGAGCTAGTTATGAACACCTGTTGATCCTCCACAATTTAAGAGCTAAAGTTGTAACACTTCAAATTTCTATGCAAGTAGGTGAGTGTTGACAAAACCAGAGCCTAAAACACCTCATTAATAACTTTTCAAACCTCCATTACGCTAGTCCCAAAAAAATCCATGGACCTAGGACATTGCAGAGTCGAAATCTCAACGTCTCATGAATCCCACCACCAAAACGAACATAGCAACATTCATGCAAATGCTTTAAAAAAACAAAGAACGTTTAACATCTATAAAACATGTCATAGAAAAGTTTATATAACTTGCCCAAATATCAGCAAATCTTTCAGCACTGGCCTGAGAAATCAGAAGTCCTCAGATTCATCCCCTGAACTATTACAGAAGTCTACACTATTCCCTTCAGACAAGCCTAAAGTTTCATTTATTACTGTGGATTTCAACATGACTTATCAGATAAAATAACCTAAAGATGTGTTAAAATTAAAATTAATACCTTCAAATAGAGGGGGTTTTCTATTTGTCCTGCTATCTTAGGTCCCCAAAACAATCCTCCTCTGCTGAGGAGCACCAGTGCCTATGCCAATGAGGAGCCCAGGCAGCTATCTCAAGGCCATCCAACTGCAGCAGTGGCTGCTCCATGAGAACTACCCTCTTCTTGCACCTACATTAAGACTAGTCAGTTGTCAACATGCAACTGAAAGAGGGCCCCTGTGCCCAAGGGCACAGTGCACCACGACACTGCAATCCTTCAGGGCAGCCACTTCTTCCCTGACCGCGGTGCATTGGGGAGAAGGGGGGTTCAGCACTCAGAGGGGGTCCCTCACCACAGCCCTCCTCCCAGACCAAGTGCTCTGCTGAAATGCCTATAGGTGAGCAGCAGGTAAGCTCATATGATGCCTCTTTCAGAAAAAAAACACATCAAATTTCCTTTTCCACTTTCTTTCTGCTACAACAGCAGTCAGAATGTATCTCCAGAGAGGAACAAATCACCAGAACTGTAGCTGGCACAAGAGCCACCGCACTAAATGATCCAGTGTTTATATCTAGTATGCAGCAATTAAAATAATACATTTTCTATTTAGCTTATGCTGCTCCATTCAGAATGACCAAACAGAAACAGAGGAGAACCTTTAGATTCAGTAATGTCTATCCAAAAATGTAGTAATATGAGAGTTTCTTACTAATACTGCAGCGGACAATGTAATAGATCTCACTTCCTTTTTACTACAAGCTTACAAACTTGTACTTGAGTACCTAGTAATTTTAGTTTATTTTGAGGGACTGACAGCCATATACTCCATGCTTGTATGTATTGTTACTGCAACCTCAGCATATTTTCACAGAACTTTTGTTCCAAAAATGGATGTTTCCTGATTCTGAAGTACTTGGGCAAAGGAGACAGATAAAGACATTAATATAATTTTGACCTGTGCAGTAGCAGGTGTAACCTGAGCTTGACACTCGTCATTTATAATAGTGATCTTTTACTCCATGTTATTCTCTAGATGCAACAGTTACCATGGTAACTGCATCTCAGTATACACATTCTACATCACAAATACAAACGGACATTTCCTTTTTTCCACTTGAACATTTAATTGTCAAAATTCACATTTGTTCAAGCTGGATTACAATTCACTTTGAGAATGAGCCAAACATAGTTACAAAACTACATGAAAGGGCAGAAGGAAAATGCAGGAGGCCTGAGGTGTCTTTTTTTTTTTCTTCTATCATATGCAAGACAAATATTTTACAATTAGGGAGCTTTATCTGCAGTATGAACAGATGATCAGTCATTGTTCAGAAGCACAAACAGGCACACATCATACTCATATATTTTCCATTTTAAACCCACATTTCTGCTTCATTGCAATTTTATCTTTTATCTCAGCTAGCAGTTGTGCCCTTTTATTATCACTCACTCTTATAATGCATCAAGTGTATGATCCTCAGACTAATTCCAAGGGGAAAAAAAGTCCAAAACTGGCTTCATGCACAATGGAGTTTTCAGTAAACAAGCCCCTGCGGGACAAATATTACACCATGCATGAGAATTACCATGCAGCTCTCATTAAGAGTAACACATGTTGCATGCCTAAATTACACAATTTGTTAAGTTACTTGTATAAGTAGAGCAGTGAACACTTTGCTTGCAGTATCTGGGCCAGTTTTTGTATGAGTAGTAGTACCTTATTATTTTCTTCAATATTATAATCCATATTTTTGTAATGATTGTTATTTGGAAGCACTCATACTATTATATTTTTTCAACTACACATACTTTCATGGTAAAATTTAATGGAATAAAAGGTTAAAAAGTACTCATTGAAAACGTGACTGTCTATTCTTACTAATTAAGAGTATGACAATACATACAAATTCTTTGTTAAACAGCACTAAATCTAAAGGTTATTAACAACCAATTTTTTTAACATTTTTAACATTTTTCTACATTTCATATATACTAGATATATAGATACTATAAAACAGTAAGGATAATAAAATTTGCTGAAATGTTCTTTTTGTTAGAGTGCTATATAGAACTGTATAACAATTTTATCCTTTGGAACTCTTGAAACTAATATAATTTTAAAAAAACTCGAAACATTAAGAGCAAAGCGATTTGGAACTATTCATCCTCTTTGTAGTTTTCATATCAATCATTATGCTAGCACTAAGCTTCTTTAATAGATTTCTAAAGATTTTTGAAGAAAAATGGCAGATATTTAGCATTATCTATCAAGCCATAATTCCTCTCTATTAATCATAGGGCTAAACAGAGACACGTATTACACATATTACTTTTATTTGGTTCCTAAACAGCAATATTTCACTAATGTATTTATCATCTACTTGACAACTGCTTAATATTTTTGTTTGCTCAGTTGGTTTGGGTTTTTGTGTTTGGTTTGGTGGGGTTTTAGGGAAAAAAGAAGTCTTCTGCTTTGCAACAAATACTAACTTTTTACATATAAGGAATAAAAGGCCATTAGAAGAAAAGCTAATGAAATTGCCTCTTCACTGATAAAACCCAACTATGGAATATACACATAAAACAAATCCAGTTCAGTTTCTCTAGTCTCATCCTGTAAATGAGAACTTTGGTCTCAGCTGCACTGATTCTTACATTTTTCTGTTCAAATCTGCAAAAAATTGAACTGGATAGCTACTTAAATGACAAAGAGGAGAGAGGGTTCAGCAACAGCTAGTAGAAAAGTTTAAAAAGTGCTCCAGAAGATGTACAAGTCTCCTGGAGAGAAGAAAGAAGGGACACAAACAGATAAAAGGAGAACAGCAGCAGCAGGTAGCAATATTTGCTCAATGAATCATGACCCACATCCCTTGAGAAGAGGAAGTGAAGTCTATGAAGTCTATGAATGACACCAGAGCAATAAATTGGCCTTGCAGACATATCATCTGTTACTTATAGATTGATTTGTGTTTCTATTTTGGTCTGTTGGTTTTTTCCCCTCAGGCTTTGTAAAGGTGATTGGGACTTCTGATCTCTCCTCTGTGGTGACCAGTGACAGGACCCCAGGGAATGGCCTGAAGTTGTGTCAGGGGGAGTTTAGGTTGGACATTAAAAAAGGTTCTTCACCCAGAGGGTGGTTGGGCACTGAACAGGCTCCCCAGTGAAGTGGTCACAGCACTAGGCCTGACAGAGTTGAAGAAGCGTTTGGACAATACTCTCAGGCACATGGTGTGACTCCTGGAGATGGTCCTGTGCAGGGCTAAGAGCTGGACTCGATGATCCTTGTGGGTCCCTTCCAACTCAGCATATTCTGTGATTCTTCGTACGTTTGTAAATATAATCAGACAAATGGCTCATGATACAGAAGAGGGACATGCACGTGAATTAAAGACTGTATAGAAATCTGCAATCTTAACACACACATATGCCTTTTTTAATACAGCCACAACTTCCCCACTTTTACAGACCAAAATCAAATTTCTATCCAACAATACTACAGATATGCACCTCTGTCTATCCAAACAGATGCACGTGAACATGTATTTTAGGTCAACCTGAAATTGTATTTACGTAGTTTTGACAAAACAGGACAATAAAAAGATGAATTCATCTGAAGCTTATCCTTTGTCTCAAAGCCAGTATAAATGCACATTAATTCTACTATAGGATCTACCCTATGCCCAGAACAGTTCTACATCTCCTTAATATGCAGTTACAGATGCAGGTGCACTTGATCTTTTCCCCTATGCAGCCTACTTGAGTAACATCCACAATTTCACCTGGCTTAGTTAAATCTTTCATTATAAAAGAAACTGTCTAACCTACAAGCATTTCTAAAGAATCATCTTGTTCACAAATAATGTTCCTTATGTTCCTATAAAGTACTGCATTATGAAAGTGTTTCTAAGCTTTTGAATCTGCTGTAAGAAAAAGGATAATTATTCTAACTTCCTACGCCTTTATTTTATTAGTATCAATTTTTTTTTAAAACAATTCATTAACAAAGGCAACCACTCAGGTAATACTCAACGGTACATACAAAGAATTTAAGACAAGTCCCACCTACCTCAGTAGCAAACTGCTGCAATCCACCAATATTAATTGGTCCCTCCTCAGTGGCATACAAATTGCAGCCACCAACACAGAGATCTGATGTTGGACACACCATTCCACATGTCAGGCCAAGTGGATTGTCAGAAAGAATCATTTTGGCAGCTCCATAATAGTTCTGGAGGAAAAAGAGAAAAGAAGAAATAGTAAAAAAAAAGATAGTCACATACCAACAAAGCAAAAATTCAAACATTCAAGAGAATAATTGGCTAGTAGAATAATAAACACATACATATTAAATAACACTGACATTACTTAAACGTATTACCATGTTATACAGCATTATGTCAAAGAATTGAGAAGAAAGTCAACAAACTGTGGATTTTGCAAAGATAAACTTTGCTTTTTAGCTTGCAAAATAGTTAAAAGCACCTTCTGTCTGAGTAGGTTGTAGGATTTTTAGTGACTTAACAAATCTACCTTCAAAAACTAAGATGTCTGCATAACGTACTTGAAAATACTTTCTCCATTCCCAGGTCAATTGGGCAGGAGCCCAATTGGTTTGGGAGGTTCAAATTCTCTACACGCATATTAAAAGACAAAGCATAAAATTCTCTAAAGTCAAACCAGATGCTACAGACACATATAGAGATTACCAAGAAAATGCCAATGTTCAAGAAATGTATTTGTAGGTGTAACTGGACTTTTTGCTTACAGATGCTGGTCTATTGCATACCATGAGCCCCTGTCCATCACCTGGAAACACAAACTAGCTGTACTTCTTTGGGATTTTCTTAGACACTATTACACCCCATTGAAATTCTAATCCTTGTTGAACAGGTAATCCCTTTATACAACTGTTCTGGGAGAACCTTCAATCATTTTGCCTGTGGTGACTGGTAAGGCACTCTATTATCCCAAATTCTCATTTTTTCCAATATGAAGGAGTATTAGTTAATGAAAATTGTACATATTAGCAGATATTTTTGGTCTTCCAGAAGAATTATACTGTTTTGATGTGCCAGAGATTGTTAGAGCTGCTAAAGACAGCCAGTAAAGACACTGTAAACTCAATCTGGCAGCAGAACACATAAGTCCAGCTATATTGGAGATGTCACTGACACATAACTTTACAGACAGCAGAAGTGACAGCCAATGCAGGAGACCCATGTCTTTCTTAAGCAGCACTGAGAGACCAGCCTAGATATCCTGCAGCATCTTACATGGCACTAGTTGTCTGTTCCTAAGCAATTACATCTAGTCATTCCTTTTTTTCCACTCTAAAGGAATACAAACTAGTACTAGTGATTCTTCTCACTAACTCAAAGACAAAACTTCTGTTCAATTTTATATTTCACACATATTAGAGCTATAGTTTCCCTTCCTAGGTTGTCCAGGATTATTATTTTTATTATCTTCAACTCTGGCTCAACAGAAACAATTACAACAAGGTGTATTTCTATTCAAGCAACTTCATTCAGGATTTTCTACATTCTTCAGCTTGTTAAAATTAACATACACATCCAGTTATTATACCTAGAATGCAAAGCTGTTAAATATTCCTTTTTTAAAAACTAATTTTCCTACATATCCGTAAAGTACACTCTCACATTTGAGCTGTACCAGTAAAAGCAATGACAACACAGCTGGTACATTTTAGTTCTTGTGCAAGCTCAAACCAAAATTTGAGCACAGCTAGGCTACAGAAAGATTGGGTATGTTAAGGCACAAATCCCTTTAGAGAGACAAGACCAGGGGCACTGTGGGTACAGTATCAAGATTATGGTTTGTTAAGGGGATAGATAAGGAAATCTGTCTCAGAACATCATGCCAGACTTTGGCAAGGAGGAGGTTGGAACTGAAGTCCCAATGGGGGTACGTCCAGCTTCTGCTGAACTCCTACTTTTGGGAAAACATGACGGAGTACATGTTTGGACACGATTTCGGAAGTTTTAAGATGTTGCTGTCATGATCATGAGTTGCTACAGCTGCCAGTAGTAGTTGTAGCACCTGAGAAAAAAGGAACTGCACCCTCTTTAAATAAGTGTATCAAAAAGTATATAGTACACATTGCCATGCTAAACATTAAGACAACAAATAAACTCTATCAAACAGTATGTATTTTCTAGTCTTAACACCTGAAATAATTTTTAAAGATAAATTAAAAGACATTCACAGTAAGGCAAGTCTTCCGCACTGCTTCACTAGTTTGTTTCAACTGTGCTGAAGTGAGCACCTCTAAAAATGAAAGGAAAGGACAGGTTCAGTGCAGACTTGGTTTCCTGGTCTGCCAACAACTGGTCACCCTGTGCCAATTTTACCATGGGCAAACTTATAACATTCTCTCAGAAGAGCTGCAGTTCCCTAATTTTCATCTTCTACCTTCCTGAAAACCAGTGTAACCACTGTTCCCATTGCCACTGGTACTATTCACTACCAGTGAAAGGATATTGCCACGTGCTGCTACCATGACTGTGCAGTGGCTCCAGAGCAAGTCCATCAGCAAACTTCCTGATACCCAGGGCACAGTGTAGCATGGAGACTGGGCTGTGGGCAAGGCTTCAGGTGCCCACCTCTGAGTTGCTTCATCTCTTTGTTCTTCCATTCTATTTAATCATTTATCTTGCCTTTACTGTGTTGATTTATTATCTAACATATAAAACATAATTAGGAAAATGTTTTACCATAGTTGACAAAAAACTGGCAGATAAATAAAGCCTAGTAAGTTACACTGAGTAGTGTTATACAAACTGTGTCGCAAAACTGCAAATCATTCTGTTACTACAGTAATAAATGAGAGTTTGTAGCATGTGTATAGTATCTTAAATACTTAGTTACACAAATACATTGTGCTTATGTAGCTTTATTTTTTAAGTTGAAAACGTATTAATATTCATTACATTTATCAGTGACATTAAAAGTAGAATATTCATAGAATGGTCACATTTAAAAAAAATGTTGATCATTTCATATAATCAGAGTGTAGTAGGTTGCAGACAAAACAGACACGAAATGCAGACCTGGCATGCTGGTAACCACACACCACATGTTGTACATGAGAAAGGATGAGAATTAAAGGGAGGCTGGCTTCATTAAAATGACAAAGTTACTTCAGGGCATGGAGTAATGCAAGCTACCTTAACAGTCTGGAGTAATTTTTGTAGACACTGAAATAGTAAGATGACTCAGTTGGCTAGTTTCTTACAGACGTCACTGAAGAAGCAAATCTAAAACTGGAATGTTTCTGAATTTTTTAATGAGATAAATGTCTGCTCCTGCCTTTGTTCATAGAATCTTTTTTCCTATGCACTTCCATAGAAATTAATTAATCTAACTGGATGTTTTGTGGTTTCCTACATGAGAATGTCAATAAATACTACATTGCTAACACAGAGAACAAAAAGAAGCCTTAAACAGATATCAATAATCACAGGAAAACAGGCAGAAGAGGATCTCCACATGTATCATTTAGAAGCATTATACAATTTGCATGCAAATTAGACTTTTTTTTACTTGAAAAAACCCTATTAAAACACATACAATCAATACTAAGAGACCAGAAGAAATTGCATTTATTATCAGGAAATGCTTATAGCATCCTTTCTTTCAATTCAATTCAAGAGCCTTTTATATAAATTCATTATGCATCAGGGTGTTTTGATATTGTATTTTTCATAAAAACAAAGAAGAATATGCATTATTACTCTTTATGTAATAAAAATAAAAACACTGACTTTATCAGAATTTGGGGACAGCATGCATACTTTAATAGGAAAGAAGAAAAAAGTAATAATTTCTTTTTCATTTAGATTTAGTTTAAAAAATGGAAGACATACAAAAATATATGGGAAAATACAACCACCTCCTACCCTAGTTCATGTTTTGCGATGGCTTTAAAATTTACTCAAGATGTACTGGATTAAAATATTTCCACAGACCAAAGTGGTCTGAAAAGAAACACTCTCAGACTGTCAGCCCCCCCCAAATATCTTCCCAAGAAGAACGAACAAAACATAACAGCAACTTATCAAATCATACATATTCTATATTATAATGTTGATGATTTTTAATCAATCCAGAAATCTTTCACATCATTTGACTTGTGTCATCATAACAGGACTGTAATTTCACACAGTGTCACTATCTTTTTATGAAAAAAAACGGAAGAAATATCTTGTACTGTCATTTTGTCCTTTGTAGTCTAGAATGTGAGAGATTCCTTAATTGACATAGTGTCATCGCAAAAGTCTATTCTACATAATTACACTATGGCAACTGAAACCAGCTGTCAGCCATTCCATTACACAAAGTACAAACAGACATCTCAAGAAAAGTCACTGTTTCATGTGCATCAACTTAACACCATCCCCACTTTTTCTTTTAAACGGGTTTTTTTCCTTACTATTTTATTTAGTGACCTGAAATATACAAAGATTAACAGAGAAAACTGAATAAAACAGCACTTTCGAGAACCTAGGGCCTCAAAGTAGTACTTAAAGACTGTGATAATTTTCATTTATCTGTATATCATTATTACCAGTCATCTAGCAGCTTTCTGACTTCCACAATTCTTCATTGTATCAACAGGATCCCACTTACAGTATTTTACATATGAACCGTGACTCATGGTTTTCTACAATCTTTGCAATGGCATATAGATGTTCTTTGTTAATTTACTCAGAGTTCCTCTGGTATAGGAAAACATCTTTCCATTTCTGTCACCTGTCATAATCCTATGGCTCTCAACACCCTTTCTCTGTGGCAATCTTTTCTTCATGCATTTTCTCTAAGTGATTCCACAACTTTTTGTATCTTGTCTTCCTCTGTCTACCCACTTTCCCTTCTTTCTCATTTCCAGTATATTATCACAAACATGTTTTTATTTACTCTCTCAATCTCCCAAACTTCACATTCACCTTTATACTTTGGTATCCATTCTATTTTCCAGTTTGTTTTCTCTCTCATTTCTCCTCTGAAAAAACAGAACTTCTCTCTTGAGAATTCCCCCCCAATTTCCTTTGGTTTCATTTAAACCTAAAGATTTCTCTGAAATCCTAAAACTTACCCTTGTGTTCCACAAGTTTCTCTGTACTGTTCCTGACATTCATTTCTCCCTCCTCCATTTTCCTACAAGTGTTCTGCACAGCCCAGGGACAACCTTTTACCTTTTATCTAAAG